TTTCTTCAGTCATTACACAATGAATAGGGAGTTGAGATCTGATTGGAAAAATTACGCAAGTAATCGTTAAAATTTTTCCCGGTTTGACGGTTTAAGGGAAGCATGTACTGTTGAGTTAGCGGGGAAAAATGTTCCGGGGCTACAAATAGAAATTAGTTGACTGAAGGTCAGCCTAGTCTCTAGATGTCTCTCTTTCCAGACGAAACTAAGCCGAGGACTCCTGGGAACAACCGACTGACTTCAAGGGAAATGCTAGAATAGACCACTTTCAATATATTAAAATTTAGCTTGGCAGCGAGGCTTAGAAGACATAAACAATGGAAATTGAATGACCATGTTTATTTATTTCTTTTGTTTGTGTCCTCAAGGTCTCACTATCAAGCTGAATTTTAATATATCGAAAGTGGCCTATTGCTGTATTGTTTTTCATTAATGTAAAAAAGCTTTCAGAATTGTATCTGCATGTAACAATTTATCATATGTTTAATAAACGATGTAAATAGACAATTTTTCTATGTTTATCCGAGTTTTAATRTAGTCTTTCATCTGTTTGTGATAATCTGTATTTACGTAACTAGCCAGGACTGAGAAACACACAAGCCCTGATATGTAAAATAAATTACTCTATTGGTCTCTATTCGCAACAGTTGTTACACGACGATAATGTTTCAAAAGATGTACATGTAATGTATAAATGAGAATTAATTGTTGTAATAAAGGTGTCTTTAATCTGGAAGAGGTGAGCACTGTTCAGCGGTATGTTACAAGGTCGAAGCTCACAGTTTTCCTCGAGCTACGCTCTCGGAAAACCGTTCTCTTCTCGGAACAGGTAATGTCCGCGCACAAATATCCTAGCATATTTTCGCGTCAAATGGTTTTGTTTATATGTTCCCCAATTTTTAAACGGCGTGTATTGCGAAAAAAACATTTGAAGAATAATAAACACAATAGCCTTTATTTGGCGCGAAAAGACGCTCGGATATTTGTCCTTGCACATAATCTGTTCCTGAAATCTCAGTTTTCCTCGAGCTACGCTCTCGGAAGACTTTTCGCTTCTCGGAACAGATCATGTCCGCGGACAAATATCCTAGCATATTTTCGCGCCAAATGAAGGCTTTTATTTATTCGTTGTAATAGAGCAATAGAATCGAGCCGGAGATAGTTCTTTGATTGAGAAAACTGTTTA